ACAGGTGTGATGCGCTGCTGCGCTCGGAGACTGAAACGCCTGCCATGGGCGCTGCCTTTCTCGAAATACTGAACTCATGTGCGCCCTGGACCCCGCGCCACCTCACCACGAAAGCAAACGAGGTCCTCAAGGAAACAAGTCTTGAACCCTGGGGTTCTCCCTGGGACCACCTGCCCATCCCGAGCTATTCTCCGACGGCCCCGTGACCCAGGACAGGCCCCAGGAGGCCGAAGTCTGCGGAAAACCTCGGGACCCCTCTCCCTCAAAGGCCCCTTCGTGGTTGAGCCCCTCCTCCTCCTCCGCCTCCTCCTCTTCCTCCTCCTCCTCCTCCTCCCTCCTCCTCCGCCTCCTCCCTCCCTTCCCTCCTGCTCCTCCTCCTCCTCCTCACTCCATCCTCCTCCTCCTCCCCTCCTCCTCCTCCTCCTCCTTCCTCCCTCACCTCCTCCCTCCTCGCCTCCTCCTCCTCCTCCTCCCTCCTCCTCCTCCGTCCTCCTCTCCTTCCTCCTCCCTCCTCCTCCTCCTCCTCCTTCCTCCTCCTCCTCCTTCCCCGATCCTCCTCCTCCTCCTGCCTCCTCCCTTCCTCCTCCTCCTCCTCCTCCTCCTGCCTCCTCCTCCTCCTCCTCCTCCTCCTCCGTCCTCCTCCTCACCCCATCCCTCCGGTCCGTCCCTCCTCCTCCTCCTCCTCCTCCTCTCCTCCTCCTCCTCCTCCTCCCTCCTCTCCTCCTCCCTCCTCCTCCTCCTCCTCCTCCTCCTCCTCCTCCTCCTCCTCCTCCTCCTCCTCCTCCTCCTCCTCCTCCTCCTTCCTCCCTCCTCCCCCTCCTCCCGCTCACACTCCCGGCTCCCCGTTGGGCTGTTTGCTGACGGTCCCGGGGCCCGGGAAGGCCCAGGGAGGCCGAGAGCGGCGAGAGGACGTCGGGGCACCTTTTTTTTTGGTTCGCGGGGCACCCTTTCTTCGCTGTCAGGCGCCCTCTCCCGCATCCCAGGAGGACGAGGAGGGGGAGAACGACAAGGTGGAGGAGGGGCACCCTTTCTTCGCTGTCAGGCGCCCTCTCCCTCATCCCAGGAGGACGAGGAGGGGGAGAACGACAATGTGGAGGAGGGGCACCCTTTCTTCACTGTCACGCGTCTCAGGAGGACGAGGAGGGGGAGAACGACAAGGTGGAGGAGGGGAAGGGGGGAAGGGGGGGGGTGAGTGAGGAGTGCGTGCGTGACTAGCTCGTGGAGTCCTGTCCCAGGCCCTGGGTGGAGACTGGGCCCTGCTAGCCGTGGCGCGCAAGGGGAGGAGGGATAGGAAGAAGAGAATAGAGAGACGATAGAGGAGGAGGACGAGGACGAGGAGGAGGACGAGGAGGAGGACGAGGAGGCGGACGAGGAGCATGACGATGAGAAGGGAGGGGGGAGGACGAGGGCGAGAAGGACAAGAAGTCTCCCTTAGTCCTCCTGCCCGCTCCCGGACCTATGATGTTGGCGCCGGCCTCCCCGAAGCCGAGCACCAGGAGGGAGCCGAGCTTAATGATGGTTTTCTCTAGGATCACCTGCGCAAGCGCTGGACGGCCGCGCGACGTCCTGCTCCCACTGCACACGAGAGCAAATACAGCGGGTCTGGGGCGCTTCTGAAGGTCCTTGTCGCCGCAGCCGGACGCAGCTCGAAGAACTCACCAGCATGGAGCCCGGAAGGGGTCGAGGATCAACTCTGGGATCTGGCAGCGCGCCCGGAGGAAGAAGCATGCGCCACCTTTTTGCTCCCTGAAGGCGCTGGTGACGCTAAATAGAACTTTGGCACCACCGGTCATAACCGCTCTGACGCGACACTTACGACCACGGTGCCTGAAAAAGGATCAGCGGGTCAGGCGTTTTGCCAAGACTTCATCACAGCGTAGTTTGTGATCCTGGAGCGTGAGCCTCTAACAGCTATGCAGATGGAGGGCGGCAAACATTCAGCACGTAGCTCTGACTTGAGCGCCGCGCACACCACATTCGTCCTGAAGATTGCATCACCTGCGCGGATGTAGGACGGATCGTCTCCAAAATGCGGCTCCCGCTTCAGCGCAGGGGATACAGATTCGACAGATACACTGCTGGAGGACAGGTGGTTGCCATACATGTGGCAGTCGCCGCAGCGCAACGCCCATTAGTTTCAAACTCTTGCAACACCACAACACGGACAGCGGCCTATGTTCAAATGGGGCTCTCACCTGGACTTGTGCTTCGAAACAGAAACTCGCAATAGTCCCACCAACCACCTGGGCGGAAGTGGTCTGGAGCGCCTCCACTTTGGGGAGCGGCTTAGAGGGCGTTTCTTTATGTTCGGCGATGACGGGCGTCAGGGGGGGGTGGGGGGGCGGGGGCGAGGGGGGGGGGGGTTATGACGTAACGCCCCCTCCCCCCTTCCGCCGTGTGGCCGGCGCAGTGCCAGAGCGCACTGGGGGGGGAGCGTAGCATATGGAGGGGGGGTGGGGGAGGGGTGGGGGGGGTGAGGGGGGCGGGGGGGGGGGGTGGGGGGCGGGGGGCCATGACGCCTGTCATGCCCCAAGCAATAAAGAAATGGCCCGTTACCGCTCCTCTCACCCCCTTCCCTGGGCTCGCCGCCGAGGAGAGCCAACTGCGCCGCGGCTGCCTGGAGCTGCACCCGTCGTCGCGGGCTGCAGCCGGCCCTGATTCGATAGGCCGCGCGGGAGGATACGAGACCGACACTGCCACGGGAATGCAAGAGGGCAGGAGTCGCGAGGCACAGGGACACGAGGGCACCCGTGATCTGGCAGGGTACACCTGCTTATCTGAGGGGCCGACTGTATTGAGCAGGGACCGACCGTCCCAGCATTCCTAGAATCATACCACGAAATGTTCTTAGAACCCAAAGATGTTCGAAGAACAGCAACAATGTTCTTATAACGTAGACCCGATGTGTTAAAACAAGACAGTCCCAGCCAGAAACGTTCTGAGAAAATTTCGTGGGAACCACAAAAGGTTCTTAGAACATTGTTTGGTGGGGCTATAGGCGAGCGGGGACGTTTCGCCACTGCTTGACTGTAGGGTGCGCCTGCTGCGTGATCCAAGCGGACTTGGCCGTGACCCGGCGCTGCGCTCCCCACCACCTGTGGGGGACCACCGCCAGCGGCCCCTCCCCAGGTAAGGAGCCGTACTCCAGATGTACGCCGATGCCTTTTCCGGCCCTGCACTGAAACCCGCACAGGAAAGCGGATCCTGGTGTATACGGGATCCTGGCGTAGACATGTCTCGCTGCTTCCCCGGGAAAAACGGGGCAACAGGTACACACCACACCACCCCGACGTCGCCCCCGGCCGTCAAAGAGTCCTGGGATGGAAAGACAGCCCGCCACTGGTAGCGTATGTGCTCCAGGGCCCGACCAAGAGCCCCCCTGGGGGACCGCCAGCGGACCCTCCCCAAGCCCGCGCGCGTGGGAGCCCAGACGGCGCCCAGGAATGGAGAGGAGGAGGAGGAGGAGGAGGAGGAGGAGGAGGAGGAGGAGGAGGAGGAGGAGGAGGACCAGTGTAAACCCAAAAATCACCAACGATGTTGGAATAAACTCTCTCCCCAAAATCCCTCATCATAGGCCCTTGCAACGGCTCATTTCCATAGAGGGACCTGCCTCGTTGGAAGACAACCGTTTGAAGACCCTGAAGCATGCCAGAACATTATTTTCGGCATTCCAACGCCACGGATGAACTTGAATGTTGCGTCTTGACAATCCTGAATCGTGCTAGAACGCCATTCCTGGGACCTCAATTCCGCGAATCATCGTAACTGTTGCGCCCTCAAAACCGTAAATCCTTCCAACATACAATTTCTTATACGTCGATCATGGGAATCCGAGGAAGTCTTGCACTTGATTAACAAGAATGTGCGCGGCCCTAAAGCGAGAGCCACATTTTGAAAAAGAACCGCCCTCATTCCATAACACTCTTAGACAATATTAGAACGACTGCGCGCGGCGCTCAGGCGAGAACCACAGTTTGAAAAGGAGCCGCCATCAATCCGTAAAACGGTTGCAACTGTTTGGAACGAATGTGCGCGGCGCTAACGCGAGAGCCACATGTTGAAAACGACCCGCCCTCAATCCGTGAAGCCCTTGCACATGTTGAAAACGAATGTGCGCGGCGCTAAGGCAAGAGTCACATTTTGAAAACGGCCCGCCTTCCATATGTGAAGCTGTTGTCATGTGTTAAGCTTCAGGGTCATAAAAGCTGAGGGAGTCTCAGGCGAAACGCCCGGCCCGCCTTAAGAACTGGCCTCGGGGTGCGACAGGGAGAAGTTATATATAAGGAGAACGAATGGGAGGAGGAGGAGGAGGAGGAGGAGGAGGAGGAGGAGAAGGAGGAACCGCGGGCAAGTCCGCACAGAAGCGGCGGCGGGCCGCCGCCCGGCCACGCCGCGCGCGACAGCGTCGGGTCAGAGCCCAAGCGGCCCCAGCCCTCAACATGTTCCTGGACCTGGACACGCCTCCTCCGCCTCCGCCTCCGCCTCCGCCTCCTCCTCCTCCTCCTCCTCATCCTCCTCCTGCTCTCGTGCTCCTCCTCCTCCTCCTCCTCCTCCTGCTCTCGTGCTCCTCCTCCTCCTCCTCCTCCTCGTCCTCCTCCTTCTCCTCCTCCTCCTCCTCCTCCTCCCCCTCCCACGCGGCCAAGCGCTGGGTACGCACGCGGACGGCTGGCATATCCAGCCCTCCACGTGTTCGGTGGCAACTCATGGGAGCCTCCCATACCATCTTGTCGGCTCCTGCGAACCGACGCTAATCAACGCCAGTCGACGCTAATCGGCGCTAAACAGGCGCTGCCCGACGCTAAATCGGCGCGGTCTTATCGACCCCCAGACGCCAATCGACGCTAGAGACGGAATTAAGGGGGTATACCAGGTTTCTATGACTTGCTACCGAACACATCAGTGCCGTTTCCGCGGGGGGAACTGGCGACGCCAGCGCGACCACTCGGGGTAGCTCGAGGCTTCGATGTCCACCGCGCCCAGCATCTCCTCGTCGTGCCGCGCCCCAGCTCTGCGCTCCACCAGGAGGGAGGTACGCGCGCAGACGTACAGGACATGCCAGCCGCGGGGACTCGACGCGTCGACCGCACCCCCGACGCCCCTGGACGCTGCCTCTGGACGCGTCGGAGTGCTGGAGCTGCCCTTGAACGATCCTGGACCGCTCTGGTCGCTCGTCTCGTGCCCCCCCGAAACTGTGTCGCGCGGCTGGGGGGAGGCCCCGGAGGCCACGGAAGGGGGGTGCTCAAATAGGGGGCCACATGCGAACCCCACCCCTACCCCCCACGATTTCTGAGGGGTACGGTGGGGTTCACTCCGCTCGGGAGCTCCCGAGCGACGTGAACCCCACCCTCCCCCTGAGAAATCGTGGGGGGTCCGGGGTGGGGTTCGCATTGTGGCCCCCTGTCAAGAGGTGAGGGAGGAGGAAGAATCTGGGAGGGGGAAGAATCTCGGAGGGGGTAGGGGGTGGGGTTCGCACGTGGCCCCCTTTATCAAGAGGTGAGGGCAGCGGGGAAGACTCTGGGAGGGCGCCCCAGCCCTGGGCCAAAGGGCCATGCTAACCTCTGGCGCAGCATGCGCTTCCCGCCTCTGCTTACCAGCCTGGAACATATCCCTATCCCTATGCTGGGCACCTCCTCATCACGATGCCAATCTTAGGGATTCCCTATTTTTTTGAGGGCGAATCCCTAAGAATGATTGTCATCGCCTTTTGGCGTGTCAATCTTAGGGATAGGGATACGTTCGAGGCTGGTAATCTGCTGAAGAACAATCCCCGGCCTTCGGTCTGCTGGCCGCGTGAGCTCTCCCGCTGCGTGATCCTGCGCGTCCCTGACCAGGGCAGCTCGCCTGGACATCGTTTCCGGATGTGGCCAGTGGGGAAACGCGCGGCGTCATTAATCATCGCACTCGCAGTCCCGCTACGTCTAGTACTGAACTAACAACGGCTACGGCAACAAATCATGACTGCGACGACAGCCAGTACTGATGTAATATTGCGACTGCCACCACCTCTACCTCTGTATACTGCTCCTCCTGCCACGGTCTTGCTTGAACACCCTCCCGGGGGCAAGCGTGCCGTCTCTAAGACCTGCGAGTTCTTGCTGGCGCAGTCGCACGCGAGCAAGCCCTGGGCGCCAGGGGTGTGGGACAGACTGCGGAGCCCCCCGCGGTCGCGTTTCCAGCACCAAGGGATGATGCTGGCGACATGGGTGCGTGTTAGGCCCGCCAGGCTGGAGCCGGTAACCCCGCCATCACGATGGAACACTTCTACGGTGACGGAGGGGCTCAGTGGGCTAACCACTTGGGGGTGGGTGGGGTGCGGAGGCCGTGCTCGACTGCCCCAGCAGAACGCACACCCAAAGAAGGGCGTGTGAAGCTCGGACGGCCTCGACTGGGTGCCGCATGCTGCCTGGACGTCTTACACCTGGTCACGAAGAGGAAGAGGATAACGACGACAACGACGAGGAGGATGAACAATCACGGAACAAAGACGGGGAGCGAGACATACAATGAGGGACCATCCGTTCACGAAAGCGCCTCAGGGAGGGCGGAAGAGAAGAGATGAAAGGACAAGGGGAAAGCAGAGGGGAAATGATCGGGGGCAGATCGGAAGGGCAGCGAAGGGAGCGGACGGAGGGGTCGAAAGAGGACAAGCAAGACAAGCAAGACGAAGGCCTAAGCAAAATCGCCTGGTGCATTGGCAAAGTGAACATGGGCCAAAAGATCACCCCAGAAGGGACTGGGAAACAACGGAAACGATCATGCAGGCATCAGGCTTTTGGCCACAGCTGATGCGGCCCAGAGCAACAACGTTAAGAGGCCCAGGATGACAAGCAGGATATGCAACGGAGAGCGATCACGCACGCGCTGATAGTTCCCCAGGTGATTGTACGTATGGCCCGCGCCACATCACGTTGCAATACTTTGCGCTGCAACCCATCGAGTTACGTGTGGAGACTCGATATTGTATTTGGCTGTGCACGCAAGAACTCATCGCACATGGCATTGCGCATGCTATATTGCACTGCAGCGTCTACTGATATTCGATTGGTGCACATATGACACATGTCCTATGACCGACAAGCAACATGACACCTTGCACATGTCGTTGCACATGTGATATCATGTTACGTTCATTGCAGGTGAGCTGGATCATTGCTTACTTGGCACGTGACATAGTACAGCAAGGACCCTGTCCCTATAAACTGGCTCTGTTGTGATACTGCACTACTTCACATCACGTCACGTTGCATCACATTGCGCCGCGTTGCTCGACATCGCTCCGAATCGTGAATGCTTCCCGTTTTGAGACATATTGCGTTACTCTTGATGCACGTGCATACACATGGATACGAAGCACAATGCAAAGACGCAGAAACAAACCGCACATCGAGAACCAACACGCCTCCAACCTCGGCCAGAAGCCGGTACGACGGTTCTGTCGGTCAAGCTCCTCCTGCTCCGCCTGTGGTAGGGAGCGGTAATGAAAACAGCTAAACTGTAAGAGGGATGGCGAGGATGGCAAGGCACACAGGCGGGGAGGGCATCATAATGCAGAAGGGGTGGCAGAGGAGAGGAGAGAGAAAGAGAGACAGAGGGAGAACAAATAATCATACAACACAAATTAGCCTGGCGAAGGACCCAACCATATGCAACTGTGAGTGACGCAGTTGTGAGTATCGTCTTCGGTGGAGCTCCCTATGGGGCCACGACGCGTGTAGGACCTAAATTGGCGCGGTGAGCGCATGCGAACGCAGCCACTGGGGTCTTTGGTGGAGTTCCCTATGTGGCCACGAGGCGTGTGAGGGGTATGCAGACATGGGCGGAGCGGACGCATGCGACCACCGCCACTGGAGCCTTCGGTGGAGCGCCTATGGGGCCGCGAAACGCGTGAAGGATGTACTGAAATGGGCGGGGCGGACACATGCGAAGACTGCCGCTGGAGCCTTCGGTGGCGCTCCCTGTGGGGCCACGAAACTTGTGAGTGGTGAGCCGAAAATGTGTAGGGCGGGCGCATGCGAACACGGCCACTGGGCGCCTTCCTTGGAGCTCCCTATGGGGCCACGAAACGTATGAGGGGTGTCGAAATGGGTATTCCGTTTCCTCTTCCGCCTCCTTCTCCTCCTCCTCCCACTCCTCCTCCTCCTCCTCCTCCTCCTCCTCCTCCTCCGCCTCCGCCTCCGCCTCCGCCTCCGCCTCCGCCTCCTCCTCCTCCTCCTCCTCCTCCTCCCCCTCCGCCTCCTCCTCCGCCTCCTCCTCCGCCTCCGTTCTCATGTCCCTTCGTATTGACATTCCCAACGCATCCGTCCCCCCCCCCTCCCCCCGTTCCACCTCGTCCTCCTCCTCCCCATCCTCTTCGGTTGTCCTCCTCCCGTTCCAACTTCCTCCTCCTTCTCCTCCTCTTCCTCCTACTCTGCATCCTCCTCACCGTCCGCCGTTCCACCTCCTCGTCGTCGTCCTCGTCCTCCTCTTCCTCCCCCCCAGCCCCTCCCCACCCCCCATGTCGCTGGTGTTTCCAGCGCATCACTTTCCCCCACCTCCTCCTCCTCCTCCTCCTCCTCCTCCTCCTCCTCCACATTATCCTCATTATACCATTTACTTCTCCTCCTCCTCCTCCTCCTCCTCCTGCTCCTTCTCTTCCTCCTCCTCCTTGTCCTCCTCCTCCTCCTCCCTCCCTCCCTCCTTCTCCTCCTCTGGAGGACCATGGTTCTTTTTACCCAGCCGACGGAGCTCCACGCTTGTGGCTGCAGACGCCGCCGTGCCAGCGGCCGACACTTCCGCCAAGCTGCGTTTGCTCATCTGCGGGGGGACGATCACGGATCGTCGGCGGCGCTGTCCGTTCGCGCCCCGCTGCGAGGGGCCAGCGAACTTCCCAGCGACGTCCTCGGCGTGGAACGAGGACCCAGCGGCTGAAACGCGCCGCGCCAACTCTCGCGCGGCATCTCGGAGACCATAGATTCGAGGAGGCCTGCGTGCAACCACGATGCGGTCGGCTAGAGGGGACACGCATGGTAGAGAGAGAGCCTTCGTGAAAGGCAAGTATTAGGCTTCGCCCGAAGGAATCCCACTCCAGAGCGAAAGAGGCAGCTGCTCCACTGCATCCTGTAGCAAGCGGGCTCGCCCCAACCTGCGGCCGAAACGAAGCGCGCAGTGCGCGACTTGATTTCCCCGCTGGAGTGGCGCGCTTCCGACGCAGTGCCGCGCAGCTGCCCGAGGGGTGGGCTCCTGCGCGCGGCGCGCCGCGCGCGCGAGCGCTCGGGCGGCGCCTGGGGATCGTGTGCTCCAGCTCGGGGGCCACTGACACGCGAGCAGAGCGCGAACAGCGCGCGCCATCGTCAGCGGCGGGGTCCTCGGGGAATCTCATGGCCGACCGCCGCGTTGGGCGACTCCGCCACGCCCATCGACTTCCGGGCAGCCGTCGCCGAGTCAGCATGAGTTGAGCAGGGACCGACCGTCCCAGCATTCCTGTAGTCCTACCACGAAATGTTCTGAGAACCCAAAAGTGTTCTAAAAACAAAAACCATGTTCTTAGAACAAAAACCCGATGTGATAAAACAAGACAGACTCCGCCAGAAATGTTCTAAGAAGATTTCGTGGGAAACCACAAAAGGTTCTTAGAACATTGCATGGTAGGGCTATAGGCGAGCCAGGACACCTCGCCACTGCTCGAATGAGCGAGCGCGGCCGCGGACGCGCGACTGGCCCCCGCGGCAAAGCGGCGCCGGCCGCGTGGCGCTCGGCCTGGCTTCCGGGGCGCGGTGGCACGGCGGCCGCGGTCGGATCGGCGCCCCTCGCGCGCCGGCAGCGGCCAAGCGCGCGACAGGCCTCGGAACAAATTAGCGAACACATGCCACATTCATCCGTCAACGCCTCCCCCTCCCCCCAATGTTCAAAGGTGGCGGTGGGTCTGATGAGATGCACTTCGACCGCAGTCTCCCCCGCGCGTGCCAACCTTGAGTTTTGGGGGGAGGGGGAGTGTTCAGTAATTATTTCCCTCTACCGGATCTTACTAACTCTACCGGATCTTATTAACTTGGGCGGGCGCGGCGGTCGCAAAATCGAACTTCATCGACGTGTCGATGACTTCCGCGATCGGCAGGCGTCGCCAGTCGCAGACGACGCGGAGAGCGCGGCGCGCGACATCGGCTGCACACCGGATGCTTTCAAGCACCAGTCGAGCTCCGAGGCATCGTTGGAATTGACGACGAGACCTCCAACAGTGCAACCATAATCGCGGGCCGCGGCAACGGCGGCGCTGCGGTAGAAGTCGATGGTGCTGGCAGTGTCGCTATCCTGTGAGCCAGAGCCATTCGCGCAGGGGAGTCGCGCTCGGCCCTCGCCAGATGCGGACTGGCGCCAGGTGACGCGCGAACCGTTGGCCTCTTTGTGGACGACCCTGCGCGATACACTCGCCCGCAAGGGATTGCACGAGGATGGCCCTCCAGCGGGGATGCGCGCCTGGCAACGGCGGGGCGAATCGTTGGCCTCTTTGTGGACGACCCTGCGCGATCCACTCGCCCGCAAGGGATTGCACGGGGATGGCCCTCCAGCGGGGATGCGCGCCTGGCAGCGGCGGGCCGCGCAAGAGCAGCCCAGGTCGGCCTCGAGCACCTCGCGCAGCGGATGGGCGCACACGGGGTCGCGCAGCCTAAGGCACCACGAGGCTTGCGAGCATGTCACGCCGCTGCGTCAGCGCTCGGCCACGACCCGCGCGACGTCGTCGCGGTTCTGGTCGAGCACTTCGCCCCTGAGGCCAGGGCCGAAGACATTGCCAGCCCGGTCGGCCGACTTGTCGCGATTTGCCCCGCAGATGGCGGTGGGTCCGCGGCCGAGGGCAACTTGGCCAACGCCTGACAGGTCGATGAGGCCACTCTGTCTCAGGGGGGCGTCCGTCTGGCACGACCACGGGGAGGCCGCGCAGGTGGTCCGGACTGACGGGCCTGTCGGAGAGCCCCTGGGTCCAGAGCGCCGGTCGACGTCGGCGCGCAACGACTCCATGATGCTGGCTTTGGACACGTCGGGGTCCGCGCGTCGGGGTCCGCGTCGTCACCAGTGTCGTCGAGGCCCAGCGTGGCGCGCGCAGTCCACGAGCGTCTGGCACTTGGCCGCATCGCGCGCCCTGCTGGCGCCGTCGGCGGCAGACGCGGCGCCCTCGAGCATGAGCGTGCCCTCCCTCGCCGAGCGCGCTCCACTACTCTTGGAGGCCTGGAAATGGGCACCAACACGGACCAACACCAAGACAGGGGTTTGCCCCCACAGGGGAAGGCGATCCTAGATCTCGGTGTTGGTGGTCATATTTCGGTCACCTTGGAAGTCAGAATATTACCACCATCACCGAGATCGGGATCTTCTTCCCTCGGCGGAAGGCACACTGCCGATAATGGTGTTGGTGTCAACCTCTAGGCCTGCGATACTCGCGACATGTCCCCAACCGTCAGAAACAGAAAAACATGCCGCGACGTGATGGACCGTAAGTTCCCACTGGCCCAGGCGGGCCCAGGCCATTTGAGCGACGATCCAAAGCGGGTCTTGCGCGAGGTGGCACAGCGGCCTTACGCGGCGGCTTACGCGGGCCGCCAACGCGGCACGCTACATTGGAGACGGGGGCGCGCACGCACGAACTTACGCGGGCATCTTACGCGCCAGTGTCGGCGCGGACGACCCCGTTTTTTGCGTCGCTCATTTGCGAGTAGCTACTTGGCGAACGCTGGAATGCGCTGGGCTCCTCCGTGGGGTCGAACCGGCACATCGCGCACTCGAAGTCCAGCGTGCATTTCCACGAAGTGATTGCGCCGGCTCCGATAGCTGCGACCGCGATCTACGTCAGCTGACATGACATATCCGCCATAGGTTCACATAATGTCGTCGCCACCGTGGAAAGCTAACGCGAGTTCGTCCTGGAGCGCCTGGTGATTCACTTCGCGCCATTGCTGGCCATCCCGCTGAAGGATCATCTCAATACCCATACTTCTCTTAAAATCATTCGTCCTTCCTCTCCCCTTCCTCTCCTTTTGCCATCTTCCTCCCTCCTCCATCTCCTCCTCCTCCTTCTCTTCCTCCTCCCCTTCCTCCTCCTGACGCTGACGCCGTAGGCATGAAGGTTCATTCGACGTTGCCATCCGTCTCCTCCTCCTCCTCCTAATCTATCACCTCTTGTTCCTAGCACTTTCCCACATCATCGTCGTCCTTTTCTTCCTCTTCCTCCTCTTCCTTCTTCCGTATACTTTCCCTCCTCCTCATCCTCATCTCCCCTCCTCCTCGTCCTCCTCCTCCTCTTCGTCCTCCTCCTCCTCCTCCTCCTCCTCCTCCTCCTCCTCCTCCTACTACTACTACTACTACTACTACTTCTACTACTACTACTACTACTACTACTACTACCACTACGACTACTACTACTACTACTACTACTACTACTACGACTACTACTACTACTACTACTACTACTACTACTACTACTACTACTACTACTACTACTACTACTACTACGACTACGAATACGACTACTACTACTACCACTACTACTACTACTACTACTACTACTACTACTACTACTACTACTACTACTACTACTACTACTACTACTACTACTACCTCTACCACTACCACTACTACTACTACTACTACTACTACTACTACTACTACTACTACTACTACGACTACTACTACTACCACTACTACTAC